CTGACTGGTCTGTAGTTCCCTGGGTTGTCTTCCTTGGATTAAATCTCTGCATTCAGAAATCCCACTGGCTACGTGCTGCCCAGTCAAGGCTCGTGTTGTTCCTGTATATGGTACCTCCTCAGGGCTTTTATTGTGACAAACCAGTTTACCAGTTACGGCGTTACTGGAGGTTGATGAGATTCCACGGTTTCTCCTCTTCTCGTGTGTCCTGGTGTAATCTGTGGCGGTAGGAGGAGTTGTGGGCTTTGCATTTGTTCAGTGTTCTCTCCTCTTGAGGATACAAAGGTGGAAACTTTATCGCGTCGTGTTCACTGGGCTGTTTTCTTCACTTTTATGTGTATTTTCAGATTGCGTTAGGATTTCTGGATGTGAGGGAGACAGGTTGACATGTTTTCTGAGACTTTTGAGGAGAAAATCCTTCCACGTTATACAGTGGAATCGTTGGATATAAATTATTTATGACTAAGATTTTCTGTGCTAGAGAGCACAAAGCTGAAGTTTTCCGAATCGTGTCTACAAATATAAAGACCAAAACCTGCAAACTTAGATGCGTCAAGCTAGACGCCCTGGTTTGCGAGAGCTCTTGGATTCCCAGCGTTTTAGTGGGAACTACCAGCCTGGCAATCCATGTAGGTATCTGTTATCAAATATTAAAGTTCTCAAATACTGCCTCAACTGCTTCTGATATAAGTTTGGTCTCCAGTGGGCTTTTTGTAGAATATCTTCGTTTAGGGGAGCCTGGTGGTGTTGCGCAAAAGCCTTCCACCGAATCCGAGGAGGACCCGGGATCCTGATAAAGTCGGTGGGTTCTGGATCAAGTTTACCGTGTTTTAGACTGAAGGAGATTGATACAGCAGTGACGTTAAACTGTGAAAATTGGACTGAATAATTTGAATAAACAGATTTGCTCTGCAATTACTGGGTTTCCACAGAACAGCGACGCATAGGAAACAGGAGGAGAAGCAAGTGATGATGCTAGTGAGCTAATTTTCAGATGTAAATAATCCAGCTGTTTCAAAACGGTTTTTAAAATTAAATTACTGTGACACAAAGCACAAAAGATGACAAATCTCATTTGGAGTGTTTTGTTTGTGTTTTGAGAGGAGGGTGATCTAGGGTGGCATTTTGCATTCCCAAATTTGGATCAAAACAGGTGCAAACCGGCGCTGAATGAAGCGTGCCATCGTGTAGATACCCGCCTTTGGTTTAAATAGAAAGTAGTCACAGTTTGTTTTGGAGTAATACAGTTTCTGAAATTACGATAATTTTCTTTTCTACTGATCTGCTCAAGTTTTTTTCTGGTGTTAGTGCCTCATACTAAAGGATTAGTTGTTGGACTCAATGAGGAGTCTTTTCCAACCTGAATGATTCTATGATTTTAGCTTGTGCAAGATCACCATTCTGCCTTTTTTTCCTGAACTCCGAGACTTTACGAGAGCTTGTTGTTCTGCAGCAAGGTCCGAAGAGCTCGGATCTAACTGCGAGAAGCAACCCAAGTTAATTCCTCTATTACACCTCATTGTAGTCCATTTAAATGGATACCTGGGAACAGGAGAGGCATATAGCTCCTTCCAGCACGATCTGGACTAAAATCAACTGGGAAGAAGAGGATAATACAACTTTTTCAAAGAGAGATGCTGGCATTTAAGTCTCCTGGAGGTGTGAGCTTTGCCTACGCTGCTTTGAGTCAGATCCAGGGTCGTCTCTACCCACTGCTGCAAACTGGCTTGAAGCCCACGTTTTACTGTCAGATTTGTTTATCCATTTTTATATCCCACCAGCCCCTACTGCTGATGGAGAAGGAAAATGATTTTTTTCTTCCTACAGAAATTCTGTTCCTTAGAAACTTAAGGCAAGTGCATCCAGCTTTGCCTAAAAGCAGCTTACAGGAATGGCACATTTATTACTGCAATTAGTTATTTTCTTATGTAAGATTTATTAAATTGCTGATCCTCTTAATGTTAAAATTCACAATGAGTGTCCTATTACATCCTAAAGTAATTGGGTGCTTGCTAGCAGTCAGTCAGCCCAGAATAGGTTTATTGAAGGGTATAAATATTGGTTTTATTCTTTTTTTTTTTTATTCCCTGGGTAGATGTGAATGTTCCGTATGGCTATGGGACAGCAGAGCCGAAGCATCGCTCATGGTCAGGGCTGTGAAAGGGCGAGTGAAGTGTCCTGGCTTCAGATTGTGGTTTATTGAAGGGTATAAATATTTTTATTCTTTATTCTTTTTTTTTTTTATTCCGTGGGTGGATGTGAGTGTTCCGTACGGCTGCGGGACAGCAGAGCCGAAGCATCGCTCTCGGTCAGGGCTGTGAAAGGGCAAGTGAAGTGTCCTGGCTTCAGCTGTGTGGATGCCACAGCATCCCTTTTCCAAGGGCAGGGCTGGAAATAACAGGAATTTGGGTGCAGAGGACGTGCTCCTGACCTCGAGTCCTGCATCCGTGACGTCGGCTGGATGACCGCGGCGCGCGTTTGCGTCGGAGCCGGGATCATAGGGCTGGAAATAACAGGAATTTGGGCGCAGAGGACGTGCTCCTGGCCTCGAGTCCCGCGTCCGTGACATCGACTGGATGAACACGGTGCATGTTTGTGTCGGAGCCGGGTTCGTCCGGGATTCCCTGTAGCGAGGGAGAAACAAATCCTCCTGCAGCGTGGTGGCTCTTCTCCTAATCTCATCGTCCGAAGGAGGTGGACCCGGTCCAAAGTGCTTCTTTATCTCTGGCAACTGTGAACGTAGCCGTGGTTGTAGCTGCTACCTCGTGCCTGCCTGGGGTTGAATGAGAGGAATCACTCCCTCCAGCTCTGTTGCTGTTAGTAATGAATTATGGACGCGGAGAATGGTTTTTTTGACTTATTTCCTGCAGCTCCTTATGACGTGGTGAAGCACGACCCGTGTCAAGCTACAAGGAGAGCTTCCGGGAGGGGAATAAGAAAGATTTCCCCCTTGCTCGTCCCATACTTGGGCTTGAATCAGAAGTGTCTGCCTCTTAAAGTTTTGAGGGCAAGGACCACGTCGCTTCCATTTTTGACCCTGTATTGTGTTGCTCTGGTGCTGGTCTCTTCCTAAAAGCCTCACCTAAATTCCCTCGTTGCTCTGGAGCCCAGGGACTGGCCCAGCAAGAGGAAGGCTCG